GTCTGTTTTGTTTGTGCTATAAAAGTCAATAATTTGCCATCAGAGCAAGACAGGTTTGGATGGAAGACATTGATCAAAGAAGTAATGAAATTTTTGAACCTAAGATAGTTAGAAAACTAAAAAAGTTACTGTAGTTTTGTACAATCTAATTTAGTGAGTGATATGTTTTTAGTTTTCTGAAATACATATTTGAAAGCTAAAGGAAGTAATTTTGGGTAGCAAATGTAGGAGAAAAAAAAAAAAGTTACTAATATAAGCAGACACTCGTAATTAGACATTGGATGAGGTAACATAAAACTTTGTATACCCTGAGCTCTCTGTACACCTACTGGATAGTTTATTGATTGTCATGGTAGTTAGACACAGTTCAAAGATTGACAAAACTATAAAATTAAATGAAAGCCGTTTTAAATAGCTAAGAGACCTAAAACTTTTAAGATAAAGATTGTAATTGTCTGTTACAATCTGCAGGGAAAACAGGGAAGTTGTAACATTTACAAGAGAAGTTTAAAGGCACTTTGCCCATTCACATGTATGCTGATGGTATGTGTAACTTGATAACTGTAACAAGTCTCATGCCATTTTCTACTGACCAATGGGTGAATAAATTTTCAAAAGTTTTTACATAGCCTGTCAAGAAATTTTTTTCAAAGGAAGTCATGACTGTCACTGGATATTGTGCCAAGAGCAAGTTAGAAATCAGAAAGTGCATACAAAGATTAAGCTAAACTCTACTTCCTATCAGACTAGTGTTCTTGTTCACCTTTCAGAAAAATGACTTTGTATGGAAACAACTCTAATGGTGACAGATCTCAAACAGCTGAAAAATTATGGAAAGATATATTGATCAGTTGCTGAATGTAGCACCTATGGGTTTCTGTAAGATCAGACTCTTGAAACTGTGACTGAGAAACTATTATCATCATATGCTAGATTGGTTATAGAAGCAAGCAGACAGTAGTGATGTACTTTGGGCATGACAACATTATGCTAGGGCCTTTTGCAACAAAAACTATGTTGAAAGGCTATTGTCAAGATGCACAGTCATCAGATATAGCATGACCTGACATGGTGGCATAGACTGTAACAACATGATGAGACTCCAAAATATTTTTAATATAATGTACTTAACCCTCTGTACAACAGAAAACAAAAAAAAAAGGAAAACTTGTACTATACAGCTGTTTATATTAAGGTAGAAATAAATATTCATGATGAAAAGTCAACAAACATCACTATTACAATTAAATCAAAAACAAAAGAAAGGAAAATACTTATTCCACATTCCTTTTTGTGTTTGAGTTAATTATAACACAGCAGTCTGTCTGATTTTTCCTCAGTACAATAGTATTAAGGAGACAATCTGAACTGTTTTACAGGTAATCTAATTGTTTGTGGTATTAACTGTTATAAAGTTTGTATTGCATTTTTTACTTAACTAAAGCCAGATATATGTTATTGATAACTGCCTTATCAATCGATATACGTAAAAATTCCTTACTCTAGTGAACCACCCTCAATCACCTACACTTTTGCTCTGTCAACATTTTATATATTCTTTACATTGTTCATTTCTTATCAAGACTTTACACAACTATTGTAAAAGGTACATCTGTTTCCTTTCCTGATTTCAGTAGTATTCTTGACAAATTTTGTAATTTTTTCCTGTGATTTTGCATGTTAGGTCTTTATTCAATCAGAGTTTAATCTTTTGACGTTGTTTCATTAAAATGCTTCTGAAAATTTTATTTATCAAAAGAATTTGCTAAAAAAGCATATAATAATTTTCTATGCCCACAAGAATGAGTATAGTTCCCAATCTGCCTATTCATGCACACCCAGGATGGAAAAGTAATGACTAGTTGTCTGCATGCACTTGGTTCATTCTGATCAAAACATTAGGCTGCTCAAGTTATTAAGCTAATGACTGTTTGACCAGACTTCATAATCTGTAACAATTCTTTATATTAGTAGATTGGGATTTTAGATTTGATTTGTGAATTGTGTGTCATATACTGTCATTGGCTACAAATGACAAGAGGGGCACAGATTTTCTTGATGCTACTTTAAGGATTAACAATGACAGTAATATACAATCTACCTTGTTTCACAAACCAATTAGAAAACCTCTTTTCCTTAACTTCAACTCTCATCATCCCAAAGCTCTCACGAAAGATGCAATTATTGGAGAATTAAATAGAATCAATTGCAACTGTAGTGAAAAAAAAACCAATACACTCTCTGAACTAAAATCACTTCATCTGAGTGAGGAATATTTTCCTTTTTACATCGATTTACAGGTCCAACCCTAAAAAGCCAACTGTCTTACAAAAAAGTGTTTGCAATCTATAGATGGGTGTCCTGTCTCCAATGTTGTTTACCAGCTTACCGTAACATCTGCCCTCATACGTACATAGGAGAAACAAGAAGAACCCTACACACAAGAATAGGAAACTAAACTGAAAACATGGTAGTAATTTCAGTTTAAAATTGTTTGACCCCAAACAAAGGTTTAGGTTCAAATATAACTGGGGGTGTTCAGAAAATTGTTTTCCCTTCACCCTGCTCATTATTCAAAATTACATGGGAGGCTTAATGTGAAGAGACATGAAAGAAAAAAAACATGAATAAATAACCAGCAAAGAGTTGATTTGGCTACAAGGAGAAAGTGGAGAGAAAAACAAGGACAGTCAGGACAAAATCAGCGGCCAATATAGGACTATGGTCCTTCATGGTGGTGGGGGATCTATAGTTCCAATGCCTAGAATTAGATGTGGGAGGAAATGGGAGAACCCCAAGGAAACCCACTTTCACTAACTGGCACCAGTAATTATCAGTTAGTGCCCTATGAGGCTTTATTGATTTGAAAAAGGATGGGGAAAGCAACTGAATGGTTAATGTTTTACAAAATCCTTCCTGGTATAGAAATCTCTAACATGATGTTTATGATAAGTATTGATGTGGGGTAGAGTTTTATCATCACTGAATGAGGGGTGTCAGAAAAAGAAGAACTGGGTACTTTGTTCAACTGTTGTATTGTCTGTTGTTGGTGAGTGGAAGGATGGGAATGGGCGTAATTGTTGAAAAAGTTGGTCAGCGGGGGGAAGTGGCCGGAAGGTTTGGCATATGGGATAGGGAAGGTTGAACTTCAAGGGACTGAAGACTCTGATCACTTTGATGACTTTTTTTTTTCTTTGGAAGGGTTTTGTCTGAGTAGATTGTTTTTGAATTTCGCACAAAGCTACACAAAGGCTATCTGTGCTAACCGACCCTAATTTAGCAATGTAAAACTAGAGGGAAGGCAGCTAGTCATCACCACCCACCGCCAACTCTTGGGCTACTCTTTTACCAACAAATAATGGGATTGACTGTCACATTATAATGCCCCCATGGCTGAAAAGGCGAGCATGTTTGGTGTGACTGGGATTCGAACCCGCGACCCTCAAATTGCAAGTCGAGCACCCTAACCACCTGGCCATGCCGGGCCTATCTGAGTAGATTGTGGAGAAAGGTGAAGGCATAGGTTAGAGACGATGAGACCTGGGTTTTTAGGGCTTGAGTTTGATTGGACTGGTTGAAGGTGGAAAATAATTTGAAGGTTAGAGTTGTCTGGCTCATTGGAGTGGAAGAATGAACCAGTGTTAATATGCATGTCTGAGTGTTGATTCTGGGAGTCAATAGTGGGTGGTTGAAACAAGGGATATCCGGTTACGACATGCCATTTCAGCTTTAAAGTGAAAGAGGTGGTACGACACTTCATTGTTTAGGATGGTTTGGGCAGTGTTTTTTTGAAGTAGTTGCAAGTTTGACAAGATGCATCGGCAATCCTGTTGTTTTAGCATAAATTGGTGGACAGCATGGTTTTGTAGTTTGTTTCGACAAAGAGACAAATGTAATCAGTAGCGATAGAAGGGTAAACATCTCTAAGAAAGACCAAGAATAGGTTGCTGGTGCTATGGAGAGAAAAACTTATTGATGTTCTTTATAAACAACAACATGAAAGAAGAGCAGTTGCAGATCATATTTTAGCTAATCATGGACAAGTAACACCTGACTTGAAACCACTAAGTATACTGATAGAAAACTAAAAACTTCTCAATGAACAACTACAACCACAGATGAATAGGCACAAAGGATGGCACATATAATTTCAATTATTTTTCTATTTCACCCTATTTGTGTAACTTTCAGTGTGTAACTTTGATAGAACTTTTGTTTATTACAGGTAACAGTTAATTATTTCAACAATAAGCTTTACTACTTATAATGTCAAATGCATGCTGTAGAAATGCACACTATAAATTTGATTAGATTTTATATAAACCATTTGAAATTTTGTACTGTCAGTTACCATTCATGCTTTAGTGGAATGCTCCTGAAGGAGCCACAAAGCGAAACATTGAGTGTGTAGTTTAATAAAAACAATGACTTGGTGTTATAAGGTCATTTATTTCTTGTATTAAAATATCCTCCATACACCCATATGCACTCCAGAAATTAAATAATGTGTAACTAGGCCTGTGGTCTTTTACATTTACACCTGTGCCACTCTTTTACCCCCTCTCGATTTAAAAGTCATCTATGAGATATGATTTGAAACATTTACCTACATTTACTTTGCTGATTGTTCCGAGATAATAAAAAGACTACTCTTAGTTAATGAATTACTTTTGTTATTATCTCTAGAAAACAATATTTTTAATATTGGAAACATGTTGTTGTTGTTATTGTTATATCACAATTTTCCTATATTTTTAAGTTGAATAGTTTTATGTATTTAAATATTCATAATAAATGTAGTAATTAGCTACTAAGTGTCTAATTAGAAAACTAGGTTCATGGGAACTTGTATGTATTACTATTAACTTTAATGACATGTTGCATAGTTTTTGTTGATAACTACCTGCTCATACCACCAGTTAATAAGTTATTAGATTCTTTAGTTTTGTGTAAGGTACTCAGTAAGATAGATATTTATGTTCATTTTCTTTGTATTTAAGGTTGAATATCATCCACATCTGGTGCAACAGCAATTATTGCAATATTGTACTGATCATCGTATTCATGTACAAGCTTACTCTTCTCTTGGAGCAGCATCTGGGTGTGAAAAGGTTAGTTCCAAAGTCCTTCTTTTAATTCTTCAAAAATTATGGTTCCTAACACTAAAAGTCTTTCGCATCAATAGCTTATGATAAATTAAATTTTCTCTTTCTCATATTTTTTATTTTTAATCCTGAAAACCACAAAGAGAGAACCTCTTACAAACTTGTTACTAAAATAGGTTTCAACTGTAGCAGATGACTCTGTATACAAGCTATTTTTTTTCTGTTGTATAGAAAAACTTTCAACTTATTTGAGGTATTTAAACTATTTACTTTTTAGAAAAATGTAACCATTTTTAGTACTTATTCAAAAAAATACTTAAGGTGAAGAAATACTTTATAATTGTTAGTATAAGCTGCTTCACTTTTTTTCTTGTTTTTCCAGTGTATGCTATAGTATATAACTAAAATCCATATTGCTTTAATTGCACTTAATATATTTTTCATTTTAGTTGTTGTCTGAACCCATTCTCCTAGAAATTGCAAGAAAGTACTCTAAAACACCAGCTCAAGTGTTACTTCGATGGGCAACACAGCATGGACTGAGTAAAGCTACAACTTTTATCTGTTGCTTGTAGTAACAGTTATAATGAGACAGTAGTTCTTGTTTTATCTTTCTCTTTTAGTAACAGTTATAATGAGATGGTAGTTCTTGTTTTATCTTTCACTTTTAGTAACAGTTATAATGAGATGGTAGTTCTTGTTTTATCTGTCACCTTTAGTAACAGTTATAATAAGACAATAATGTTTGTTTTCTCTGTCGCTTTTAGTATCAGTTATAATAAGACTTTATATCTGAAATCTGGAACCAAACTGTATGAATTTATTATTAATGATGGGGGGAAAAATGCTTTAGTACAGATAGACCCAGAAAATGCTACACCTTGTTAATGAATGTGAAATAACCTTAACTCAAATTATTTTCAATAGATTCATTTGGTTTAACAAGAGAAGGTCTCAGAAAAAGCTTTTTTTTTAATATTTAAGTACTATAAAAATAATGGAGTGAGAAATCGTATTAAAATAATTATAATTGTAAGAAATAAAGTTTCACTTAAACTTGGTAGACCTAGTAATGCATAATTTAATAGTAAATGTTTAGGTTATTATTATTGATTCAGTTTTAGTTGTAATAACGTTGCTTTGAATACAACTTTGTAATAATAGTAAAATGGCAATTTGCTAAAAAAAACTTTGACTGAAAATAAAGCTATTTATTATTATGACATATACCACTTTATGCCAAACTGATGAGCTCTAGTATTGAGCGAAAAGCCTCATTAGCATATACAGCCAGTAAAGAAAACTTGTTAAAAATTATTTTCAGTCTTATTGTGATGTCACAAAAGCAATCAATATATAAAGCTATTTACTTATTTTTATAACTCAATTCCTGCAACATTGGAGACTTAAATTATAAATATGTTCTTTTCTGCTACATCTTGTGTGATACGTGCATTATGCCTAAAAAAATATAATCCTTTAAATGAAGTTTTTGATGAGGTATGCTAAATATTTAACCAAAAATATGTATACCACAACCAGTTCAATATTAGTATAGAATGGACTTATGTATATGTCAGGCACAGGATGGTAGATAATGTGCTGGACTGTTAAACTGAGTGTCCATGGTTCACATCTCATTGCTGCAAAAAAGCACTCAACAGTTTGGGACCATGAGTGCATCATAAGAGTGACAGTCTATTTGATTTGAGTAGCCTAAGATTTGGTGATGGATAGTGTTGACTAGCAGACTTCCCTCTAGCCTTCAAGACAGCTACTGTAACATGGATAGCTTTCATGTAGCTTTGCACAAAATCCAACAGAGAAATCACTTGCAGCATTATCAGTGGAATCTTCTTTCTTAGATTGATTTTCATAAGAATACTAAATTTGTCAGTGTTTTTTTTTTTTTTGTAGAACTGTTTTCAATCTTAGTATCATCTGTAGTGGATATTTTATCCTCTTCTTTCATTTCATACATCATTTCTTTGTGCCTTTCACAGTTAACGCATTCGCGGTGTAAGTGATTTCTCTAATTATGGTAATAGTTATGTCCTTATTATATTACAGTCTTCATAACAGTTTTCTTTTTTACGAAAGAAGTCTTAATTAGTGTTTTTTTCTTCAATTATTCACAATGAAAAATTTAATGCTAATCTCCAGATGTAATTTTAAAATCAAAAGTGAGTTAATCATGTAAATTTGTTTTATTTCAGTTGTCCTTTGAAAATGGCATTCATGCTCTACCAGTGGTACATGATTGAAGGCGTGGCTTTATTATAGCCATCTGTATAAAATAAATGCTTCATATAGAACTTTGAAGATATGAAGTACAATATATCTTATGGGTGCTGTGTACCACGGGTGGTGCACAATGTTGTGAACGTGATAAATTCTTGAGTAAAATACTTCACGTGTACTTTAAACAAAGATATACTCATAGTATTGATGAGCATGAGCAGGTCACTAATCATATTCATGAGCTGCTCATGAACATTTTTAACTAATCTTAAAATACTGTGTGATGTCATTATTTACCTACAAGCAACTCGTGAAAAGAACAAAGTATAGTAATTACTGATAAAATATACATATGAAATACACCTTACATGTTTTACCAAGCAGTTAAAGAAAATGGTGTCCAACATTCCTGTAAATATCAGGGTTTAAAACTGTCACACTTTGGCTTATGGGAAATATCCTTTCAAACAGAAATGTTGTTTTTTAATTTTATTAAGTTCAAACACCTTTAACCCTGATTTTCTATTCATGTTTAAAATCTAATGATGCACATTTTTATTTTTACATTAGAGTTGTCAAAACGTTAAAATTATCTATCCTATATAGTTACATTAATCTTATTTGTGCTATTCTACCATTTAAATTTGTTGGTCATGATTTACTTTTATATTATTCATTGTATAATAATTCATATTCTCTGTTTGTGAATATCTTTGTCTTTGAACTCCTTCCACAGTTTTGGAGCTAGCAGGACCAAACTTGGCAGGTGACTTGTGGTGTCCTTATCAGTATGCTAAAGCCCTCACCTCTTTTCTTTTTTTGCTTTTTTTTGGGAGGGGGTATCAAGGTGGACTAAAATGCCTGTAAGGTCACCTACACATGAGTGGGGTCTGTGAGAAGGTTTTTAGGGTGTCTTAACCTGAATCTGGTGTCAGATTTTGTGTTCCTGGCCCTCTTCAGTGTCCTGAGAGTTTCATATTTCAAACTGTGTGCATACCCACACTCTCAAGCTAGCTGGACCAAACATGGCATAGGTGTCCTGACAGTGTTTGGTTTTGGAAACAGACCTACTTAGGGTAGCTATAGAAGTAATTGGAATGATTGAGGAGTGTGAGTAGTTTATGCTAGTATGATAAAATGTAATTTGTTTGTAAGGTGCACATGACAAATAAATATAAGTTAGTCTAAGTATTATTAGTCAGTCAGAAAATATATTCTTAAAGGCACTTCATAAGTAGTGTGAAGTATATTTATCAATAATGACAATGTAAGATGTGTGTATGAGATTCAATCAGAGAAAACTGAAAAATATCCTGCTTTCCTATTAATTCAAAAATTATTGTGTTGACTAACAGACAAAAATAAAACCCTTTTTTAACCTTAATTTCATATTCACTAATGCAACAATAAGTATGACTATACCTTTATACTTAATATAGTAGACCATCACTTCACTGAAAATGGAAATAGCTTAAAATTTGAAAGGTGATAGATTGTTTAAGACACTAACCAATTTGAATATATAATATAGAAACAAAATAATCAGTAATATTCACATGAAACATAATCACAGTCTATAATGTTTGATATTATTAGTTGAGCTAGCATCAGCTGTTTGGTAACTTTTTGGAATTGCTATATGTGTTTTGTTTTGCTAGCAAAACAAATCCAAATTACATGTTTATTAACTCATAATTCTTTTAAGTTTAAGATTTTAAAAAGTTCAATAATGTAATTATGAAAAAATCATAAAATATAAAATAAACCAATGATCATACATTTGAGTGACTACTGGTATCATACATTTTTAACTTTATTCTGAATCTCTGAATACAAAAGTACTACATAATGTTTGATTTAACAGTAATGGTTGAAACAACAAAAGCCAGCAGTTAACTTGTTCTTACAACAGTTGATTCCACAGTAACATTTATTGCAGTTTTTCTTACCATAAGCATATAAGATCTGAGTAACTATTTATGCATTAACAATTTATGCACATTGTTTTATTTTTACAGTTGTATCCTTTTTATTGAAATTTCATTGCTTTATTGTTAGGTATATATCAAATAAAAGTACTTTTGATTTGTTGTTTTTTTACCTGTGATTTGTATAAGAGATAGTGTAATTATCAATTATTTGTTAAGAAGAAATCAAGTGAAAATATTTTTAATTTGGGTTTACCATGTAAGAGGTAATATAGTAATCATTTATGCACTGTTTTACATTTTAGGTGTTATTCCAAAGACAACACAGCCAAAACGACTTGAAGAAAATGCAGATATATTTGATTTTGACCTTCTATATGAAGATATGAATAACTTAAATAGTCTTGACAAACAAACTCATTACTGTTGGGATCCCAGTAGTATTCTGTGATTTAAGGAAAAGGATTTATTGTTTTGTCATGCATGTAGAAAAGCCAAAATGAATTAGTTTTGTAATCCACAACATAACTTACAATTCAGGCTTATTTTGTAATTGCTCTTAAAATACTAATATTAAAAGAATAAAACTTTTTTTCATAGTTTTAATTTATTTGTCATGCTATCACTGGATTTTTTTTTTACTAACACTATACTCAAAAGTTATTTGAAGACAAAGGAAAGGCATCTCATTTTTTTTTGACAGATAATCACAATTTGTGCTATTTAATGAGAAAACCAGCATAGAAATATCAAAGTTTAATAAACATTCACTATATATGTTGAATATAAGAGGCCATCATTCTCTACACACTTTCTGGAATTGTAAGAAATAATAATTACAACATAAACTGTTCAGATAGTATGTTAACATACTTGTACATTCAGTGATATTGATATACTATAATGGGCAGAATATAGTTTAAAGGTTTTTTAGGTGGTTGTTAGTGGCTAATTTTGGATAGTGTAATGAAATTCATGCAACTGTGTGTTAGATATACATGGCTATTTCAATTTAAGTTTAATGTGAGTGTTATGATTTAGATAGTTTATGTAGCACGATTTTTAAACTTAGTTATTTTTAGAAGCGATAGTTTATCACAAGCTTGTTTGCATAACTGTTCGTGAATCATACATTGTGTAGTTTGCTAGTTATGAATTGGTGATTATCATATTATTGTATCATGTGACTAGAACCTAATTTGTCTTGTCAGTTGTGTTCTAAAGCAATTGAACCAGTCTGTGTGGACTTTGATGAAAAAGATAGAATTATTTAAAACTCTGGATACAACTGTGATAACCAACAGTGTATCAAAGATTTGTATATACGTTTGACTTGTTTTAATATATTATTTTAAAACAGTGGATTGTGTGCTGTCCACAGGCTGAGAGAAGAAGGAAATAATTCAACCCTATTGCTAAGGGTTTTCCTATGGACAGGGGTCAAAGGATGTGTCATCATGTTTGTAGACTTACATTCAAAATTTTATTGAATGACTATTTTATGAATGTATGGTATCAAATTGTAGATTATAATTCAAATTTTAATATTATACATTAGTTACTTTCTTGATTTAAAAGTGAATATAAAGAAATCCCAAATATCGATTTTTGTGTGTCATACAGTATGTTGAATGGAGCTTTGGTTCCAACTTATGATATCCCAGTACAAAGTCTACAGTTTCTTACGAAATACAAACTCAAATTACCAATATTTAAAAGTTAGAATATAAAATAAGAACCTCTATCTGTTTTATATTTACTGAGATATCGCTATACTTAGCAAATCAAACACAGTGACCCTACCCACCTCTTCCATTTTTGAAAACACTTCCTTATGTAAACCCGTTTCCTCTATTTTGTATTTATAACCAATCAAAAGCTCAGAATTTCTCCCACATGGTTTTCTCAGCCTCTTGACGGTAGGAAGTTCCCACGATTATTTCTTTTGTGGTTAAACCGAATCTCTTTGCAAAGGAGTAGATGAATGACATGTGGGCCTGGCATGGCCAAGTGGTTAGGGAGCTTGACTTGCAATCTGCGGTTCGAGGGTTCGAATCCCGTCCCACCAAATATGCTCGCCCTTTCAGCCGTGGGGGGCATTATAATGTGACGGTTAATCTTTTGGTATTATCTCGACCATCCAAATAGTAACCAGCACTACCTGCAAGTAGTCCTGCCAGTCTATTGGATGCTTTAGGGGAATTCCCAGGCTAATCCATAACCAGAACCAGAACTCTCAAGTAATTGGTTACTTTTATGTTGAGTTAGCTGGTTACTTATTTACTTGTACTGCTACACCCATGTCATGTAAGCAATATCACCTCAAGGTACCGCTTTTGCTCGTTAACTTCGAGTGTTTTGTAGCCTTCCTAGTTCTAGCGGACTAGCCTCTGTAATCCATCAACCTGTCATGGGTGCTGGTGCACTCATTTTGTTTCTGGGTAACGATTTTACGTAACTAGGCCCCTGACCTTGTAAAACCTAGTTTCCAAGTTACTAGTCTTATTTCACAACACAGGGGTCTCCTTGTCACCTCTTTTTTTATATGTCCATGTTTACTTAAACTTGAAGAACTGTTTTAACTTTATTCTTAAACTCTTTTAGACTAATCAAATCCTGAAGCAATTGTAAAATTTCCTCAGAAATATCCAATTGCTTCATAACTAACCAGTTATATCGAGCTCACACTCAATTCACCCCATAGCAACTATTGTTTTTTTGTTATGGATTTCGCGCAAAGCTGCACGAGGGCGATCTGCACTAGCCATCCCTAATTTAGCAGTGTAAGACTAGAGGGAAGGCAGCTAGTCATCACCACCCACCACCAACTCTTGGGCTAATCTTTTACCAATGAATAGTGGGATTCACCGTCATATGATAACACCCCCACAGCTGAAAGGGCAAGCATGTTTGGTGGGACAGGGATTCGAACCCGCAACCCACAGATTGCGAGTTGAGTCCCCTAACCACCTAGCCATGCCGGGCCCCATAGCAACTAAAACATATAAAAGCTAAATTTAAAATATTTAAAAAATCAATCAGCCATAAAGACAGACAGGCCAGCCAAGTTATAGCACTAAGTTAGTACTGACAGAATCATAAGAATGGATCAAACCACAACTTCTAAATAAGTTTCTTAAAGTTTTTGGAAGTTTAACCCTGTGAACATGGGTAGGTCAAAGTGCAAATGTCATAATTTTTTACAGAATTACATTAAAAATTTAATTAAACTACTTTATCAGCATTGTATATCAAAACTTAACATCAAAACGTAGTATATAAATCAAATTTTGATATAAGTTTTAATTTCTTCATTTCAAAACTAAATATCTAAATAAATTTTCAACCTTCACTTGTCTGTATCATGTGATACATGATTTTATCACCACCTTTATGTGATATTTATACTCCAGATATTACTAAGGCACAGTCTAATTTTATAGCCTCCAGGCTTCTTATTTATGGATATATAAAGTAGAAAAGCAAATCTACTTGCCATACTCTCCTATCATATTGTTACAACATCGGAAGTCACGTGATTCTGCTAGCGCATGACTGAATTTCTCGAATGATCAGGGAGACCCGAGTGTATTCCAGATGCCCCCTTTATTCTTTGTTGGTATTTAAACCTGGCAGAGAAAGCCAACAATTATTACTGAATGTATGATAAAGCGAACAGTAGTCATGGTAAGTTTGGGGCAAAGTTATCGAGATTGTGAATCACTGTGGTTTATAGCATGTATTATAAAGGTTGTTAAGTTTAAAGTGACGAGAAATGTACTGACAGTGAAATTACTGTGTGTTAAAAGTTTGTATCGAGAAATAATAAACTGGTTTAATCAAGAAAAGACTAGTATCGCTGAAGTTTCTCAGAATAAATTTATACCGGAAATTATTAAACAAGCAGATATGCAACAATATTTTGTCATTCACAGTTATTATTATTCACTATTATTGGTGTGCTATAAACTTTGGAAGCTATAACTGTGATTGTTATAGTGCCTATTAATCAGAAAACTTAAGATATGTGACCAGGAACATTTATGAATTTCGAACATTACAAACCATTTAACTTCAGTGGATTCACATTGGACATTAACACTTTTATGAAAACATTGCCTAACATCACTGATATCAGCATGTGATCAGTGAGAACTAGAGGGCTAGCTAGCTCCCTATTAAGTGAATTGTAAAAAAGTAAAGTGTATGTATCAATCTTGTTGGCAAATATCATAAATTGGAGATATATCAGCAAATATTTAACTACAAAATATAAATTGAAATCTAATTCAATTTCAGGGTATTATAATTCCAATAGTATAGGTAACAGTTGGTCAAATGTACTGAGTCCATATAGTGTTAGGATAGAGAAAATAACAGACAAAATATAAAACTTTACTCAACAAAGTCTAATATACATTTAGGAGATCATGAAACTGATACCTGAAAACTGAGAGATGAAAAGAGTATCCTTAATATTAACATGAAAATCTTCTTGTTCTCAAACTAATCACAGTTTGAGTCACTCTCAGACTCTATAAGTTCAGAGAAAAATCCTTAGTAAAAATACTGTTGTTCTTTGTTATTAAGCACAAAGTTGCACAAAAGGCTATCTGTGCTCTTCCCACCACAGGTATCGAAACCCGGTTTTTTTTTTATATAATCTTGCAGACAAAATTCTATGCTTCTGGGTGGCAGTAAGAATACTTAATGGAAAAGTACAATATTTTTCTGTACCAAAGACTTGTAATGTTTACTGAAAGTTTACAAAAATTCATAAAGATACATTTACTATATTAAAAGTCATAGTAATGTATATGTTCATAATTACCTAGTAGTTACATGATGGTTGCAAGTTTGGCCAAAATGACTGAGTAACTACCTTAATTTTGAAGTTCATGTGTTAGTTATTTTAGAATTTCCAATGGTCTGAAACCGAGGTAATTGATACTTTAAATTTAGTAGTTTAATTGTACTTTGGATTCAGCAGTTAAGTAAAAGCCAACACGTATGATATTTGCCAACAAGATTGATAAAAACAAT